ACTTGGGAGGCTGAGGCAGGAGAATTGCTTGAACCTGGGAGGCGGAGCTTGCAGTGAGCTGAGATCGTGCCACTGCACTCCAGCCTGGTGACAGAGTGAGACTCCATTTCAAAAAAAATAATAATAATAAATACTAATAATAAAACTCACAGCAGGACCCCTGGCTAGCTGGGGAGGAGGCCTGTGTGGGCATGTGTTCCTGGGGCCAGCCTAGGAGAAAGTGCTTTTCCTGGGTGTGTGCCCAGGTCACCTGGCTGTAGGACATGCTTCAAGGAATGGGTCTGCCAGGTCCCAGTGTTCCTGGAGCAAACTGAGGGTCTGTGCTATCTTGTGGCCCAGTAATGAGATACAGATGAACTGGGGAGGAAGAGAGTTTTTATTTCTGTAACCAGTTACAGGGAGAAGGCCTGAAAATGATAACCAGACCAACTCAAAATTACAGTTTTCCAGAGCTTCTATACCTTCTAAACTATATGTCTACGTGTTAAGTGTGCATTCATCTAAAGACATAAGTCATTAACTTCTTTTAATCTGTAAGTAAGGTCTCAGTCCTGAAGACCTTCTGGATCCTCAGTAAGTTTACTTAATCTAAATGGGTCTTGGTGCTGGGGTAATTACCCTTATCTTGTCTCCTGCTGAATCAAAGGTTTGGGGAGTTCCTTTAGACCCCAACAAACTTGTCTGTGGAAGCCTGGGGAGTTTATTCAGACCCCCAATAAAACTTGTTTAAACTTAATGGTCCTGTTAAGAATTCCTTCATCATCTTGTCATGCTTCATGGCCCAGGAAAAGCCTAGGGAAAACCTTTGGTGGGCTCTTTGTTACAGTCCAGCCTTTTTATAAGGGCACTGGCTCAATCAGCTTTTAATGTTTAACATAGACAGTCAGTGCTGGGACAGTTGTAACGCAGGCCTACATTAGTGAGACCTGGCCTGCCACAACAGGACAGCAAGGGAGGCAGGGGAGAACCAGGGAAGGTGAGGCTGAGGTCGAGGGTCAGTCCCCAGCCCCATGGTGGACCTCTGGTCCTCCTGCACCTGGGTGAGCTCCGGCGAGAGCCATGTGGCTTTCCTCTAGAGAAGAGCCTGTCTCCCATCCTATTATGGGAGCCTCCTCCTCCTCTTCCAGGTCTTGTGGATAATGACCAGCAGGGTGATCCCCAGTGAGCACGAGTGTATTTGCCTGTCAACAAGGGAACAAGTGAATCAAGTTCCTGTGTGGTTCACGGAGGGGGAAGATCAGGTTTCACTTGTCGGGAATGGCTGGTGTGTGCACTTGGAGAATATGCTAGTGAACATGGAGGGCTGTACCCTGTCCAGGTGGCAACAGGGCCTGTAGTCTGCACACGTTTGGTTAAAACATTCTACACCGGGCCGGGCGCGGTGGCTCACGCCTGTAATCCCAGCACTTTGGGAGGCCGAGACGGGCGGATCACGAGGTCAGGAGATCGAGACCATCCTGGCTAACACGGTGAAACCCCATCTCTACTAAAAATACAAAAAACTAGCCGGGTGCGGTGGCGGGCGCCTGTAGTCCCAGCAACACGGGAGGCTGAGGCAGGAGAATGGTGCTAACCTGGGAGGCAGAGCTTGCAGTGAGCCAAGACTACACCACTGCACTCCAGCCTGGGCGACAGAGCGAGACTCCGTCTAAAAAAAAAAAAAAAAAAAACAACCTTCTACACCACTCATTTTTCAGAAAGGAGTCTTCCTTTAGGTGGATGAGGCACTGTCAGAGGGAGTCACTCTGAGTTCTGAGTCACTGTTCAGTCCGGGCTGGTTGGAAGCAGTGGGTTGAATCTCAGCATTCAGGTTTGACATGTTCTGGGCAAGGACTCCTCTAAATGGAAACTTTTCCCTTTCCATTCCTTAAGGATGTGAAGAACCCAGCAGCCTTTCCTGAGGCTGTGTCTTCTGTGCATAGCGTCTCCTAGGACCATTCTAAAACATCCCTCCATGGATCTTAAAGCACCCCCTTTTTCCCTTAGGAGGGGGAGTTCTGGAGCTCCTTAATCTGAAGTCAGATGGATCCAACTAAGAGAGAAGAGAGAACTCCAGGCTGCCCCCATGGTGAACAGGCTGGGCCCAGCCTTGTGTGGTCCTTAGAGACGACCACAGTGGATGAGATGAAGCTATCAGGGCACTGTGTGTACAGAAACAGCAGGAATCAAAACGGTATATACTCAATGAGTGCAATGCTAAAAAAAAAAGTTTATGTGCCAACTCGGATTGGGGAAGTATACTGGGAAAAACAGGCCAATAGTAGATTTGATTGGGAGACTAGTGTTTTGAGCAACTTTTGTTAAGCACCGTTTTGTATTTTGACTGATTGTGACAACAGTATATTTTTCTGCTGATATTTGTGGGTTCTCAGGCTTCCGTGGTGTAAAACAACCTTGATCAAAATGTGAATGGTTCAAGAAGTTAGTGAATCAGCTTTCAGGCCTGTCTGGAACAGAACAAAGGGGCACCCACTCAACAGCTCACTAAATTTCTTTTAAAAACCTGTTGTCTTCCAAGATTTGGGACTAATAATAAAAAAGCCTCAGGTAGGTTTTGTTCAAAAATTACCATCTCTGTGATCTCACAGAGGAGATAAAGGCAGGGGAATAGGTATTTCTCCCAAGCCTTTTATTGTGATGATTTTAAAAACTATTATTTTTCAATATTTTGGATACTTCATGTATTTTCAGAAGAAAGCAGCCATGAACAAGTGTATGTATATTGAGAGTTAACTAGAAAAATCCATTTTCATGGAAGTTCTCATTCTAAACATTGGACAGAATCAGTTCTATCCCCTAAACCAGAGGTTGGAAAATGATGACCCGTGGCTGAATCTGGCTTGCTGCCTGTTCTTTTGAACACAGTTTTATCGAAGCACAGCCACTCCCATTTACTTACGTGTCAGGCAAGGATTCTTTCACTCTGCACTGGCAGAGTTGAGTACTTGCGACAGATGGGATATGACTCACAGAATCGAAATATTTATTATCTGCCCCCTTAGAAATATTTGCCAACTCATGTGCTGAGCCACTGACATCGCCATCTAATCCCATGTGGCAACCACTGGCGGTAGATTTGCGGTTTAAACTCTTCCTGGCCACTAATCAGGGTCCATTGATACAGGAAGACTGTTTTTTTTTTTTTTTACAGAGTCTCGCTCTGTTGCCCAGGCTGGAATGGAGTGCAATGGCATAATTGTGGCTCATTGCAACCTCTGCCACCCGGGCTCAAACAATTCTCCTGCCTCAGCCTCCCAAGTAGCTGGGATTATAGGTGCCCGCCACCACAACTGGCTATTTTTTTTTTTTTTCAGTAGAGACAGGGTTTCGCCATGTTGGCCAGGCTGGTCTTGAACCCCTGACCTCAGGTGATCCACCCGCCTCGGCCTCCCAAAATGCTGGGATTACAGTTGTGAGCCACCACGCCTGGCCTGGAAGACAGTTCAATATAGGGGCCAAACAAGGTCACATGCTGGCTGTCTTGTCTCTTTTCTGTCTTTCTTTTTCATCATGGCATTGGTTTCTTGGAGACACGAGGTTATTTTTCCTGTAGAATGTCTCACACTCTGGACTTGACAGATTGCTTCCTGTGCTGTTGTTTCACTTGTTTCTGGAAGTCCTGTGTTTTCCATAAACCAGTAGTTAGATCTAGAAACTCAATTAGTTTCAGGTTCCATTTCTTTGGGCAAGAATAGTTCATGCCTGGTAATGTGTAATTCTTATTACATCACAACAGGAAATCCATTAATGTCTGGTGGTCTCAGTTTTAGGGAGGGTAAGAGTGATGATCAAGTATGCCCTTAACCCTCGCTTATCAAATTCCCTGCCAAGCTTTTCACCAAATGGTTCTAAAACAGTCCATTGATGGTGGCTTTAGACCTATAATTTAATTCAGGGTTGCAATATGGTGATTTTATTATTCTATCATCCCTTCTTCATTTATTAGTTGGGGAAATTCTATGAAGAAAGCAGTTCCTTAACTATTGTTCACCCTAAAATACAGTTTGTGCTGAAAATGCAGAAGAAATTTCTGGAGTGATAAGTTGGTGCTGTAACAAGCTCTAATTATAAATGAAACTATTTAATTGTCATTATGAACTCATGGATGTTTATATACTTGTGTGCGTCCATCAGTTGTCATCATTAGTTGCTGCAATTAGGGAAAATGTCTCTCTGTGGCCAGTGGGCTCCGCTTCAGTTTGGAGCTGGTGTTCTTTTGGTGTGACCCCTCAGTCTTTGAGAGGTCTTCTTTCTAGCACAACAAAAGAACTCAGCTTCTCTTGTACATCTTATGCTCCAGACTTGGAGGCTGCCATTTCTCCAAGTAGTCCTGGAGATTCTCAAATGCTAAAGTTAACCAACACACTGCCCTAAGACCAGAAAGGAGAAAAAATGGAAGTCCTGGGTTCCAATGGACTCTTTCACTGAGCAGACTACTAAGACCTCTGAATTATGTGGGCACTGAGAATCAGTCACGTGTTGGGACCGACGTGGTGGCTCATGCCTGTAATCCCAGCACTTTTGCATTTTGGGAGGCCAAGGCGGGTGGATCACCTGTGGTTAGGAGTTCCAGACCAGCCTGGCCAACATGGTGAAACCCTGTCTTTACTAAAAACAAAAATAAACCCCCCAAATTAGCCGAGTGTGGTGGCAGGCACCTCTAATCCCAGCTACTTGGGAGGCTGAGGCAGGAGAGCCATTTGAGCCTGGGAGGCAGAGGTTGCAGTGAGCCGAGATTGTGCCACTGCACTTCAGCCTGGGCGACAAGAGTGAAACACCATCACAACAACAACAACAACAACAAGAATCAGTCACGTGTTGGTTTGCGGATCAAACACAGTGGAGGTGACATCACCCAAGCCTAGGTCATCACTATCACTCCCCTATTCCCGGCAGGCTTTTTGGTTCGACCTGTCACATATTCCAACCCATGCATCCTAATCCCCTGCTTCTTTACCTCTTCCAATTGAGACACAAGATTCGTTTTGACCCAAAGGAGGTATACTTCAAAAACAATTTTTCTTTATTAAAAGAATGCTTATAAAAAGTCCATTTCACTTCTGCGTCCTTTCTTCTGGTCACTCCCAGCTCACTTGCAGCACTTGGCTTTCCCGTGGTAACAGGTGCCTTGAATTTTGGTATAGATTGGGCAGGCAGAATAGAGACATTGCCCTCCACTCCTGACGCAGTTGTAATGGTCAGATCTGTGGCCAAGACCTGTGAGAAAGTTATCGCCTGTAAGGAGGGAACACAGACACTTCAGACTCATGGCTTGTAGCTGCAATGATTTGAGAACATCTCGTGAAAGCAGAACAAATAACTCTGCAAAACACTGGGAAGTCTTCTCTTCCAGAAATTTGCACATGATTGATCTTTGGGGCTACTCATGAAATGAGGTGTCTGAAGAGCTTACTCAGTCAGGGGCTATGCCAGCTGTGGCCAAATACAGGCCAAGGAACCAACAGTGGGGTTCTGAGTGGGGTTTTCTTATGCTGAGAGATTTTAGGTGTGCAGAGAATTCAAGTTGTTTTCCAAATAAGTTTTCCACCTTGTCTCACCACACCCCAAACTCACATCCTGTGTTTTAGAAATGTGGAAGCAGGTGCCACTCTTCAAACACAGCCTAAACTTCCCTCCTTCCATGCCTTCAGTTACACTGTTCCCTCTGCATTGAATCCCAGCTCCCCCACTTCCCACATCACTATTTCAGCTGAAATCGAGGATCCTTTCACGTCAGGCTGAAATTATTGTTACTCTCTAAAGCTTTCATAGTTTTTTTTCTACTCGGAATTTATTTTGCCCTTCTCCCAGTATCCCAGATCTCATAAATAGAGACAGTACTCTGGACTAGGTTTCTATTCCATGCAACAGGGAACAGTCGCCTGTGATATTCCTGGCCAGGGACCAGCAGGCCATCATTTTGCATGCCTTCATTGGTAGGCGTTTTGGACTGAACTGTGTCCCCTAGGAAAAAAATTCCTGTGTTGAAGCCCTAGCCAGTGCCTTAGAAGGTGATTGTATTTGGAGAGAGAAACTTTAAAGAGATGATTCAAGTTAAACACGGTCATTGGGGTGTGCTCTGATGCATACGACTTGCATCCTTATAAGAAGAGATTGGGACAGACACACACAGAGGAAGGACCATGTGAGGACCCAGGGAGGAGGTGGCCGTCTCCCAGCCAAAGAGAGAGACCTGAGAAGAAGCCAACCCTGCTGGCACCTTGATCTCGGAATTCCAGCCTCCAGGACTGCGAGGAAATACGTTTCTGTTGTAAAACTGCCCAATCTGTTTATGGGCGGTTTAAACTATAAACCTGGTAGGCTGAGCAGACTAATACAAGAGGCCATCGTCACCCTAGGAGACAGTACATTCCAATGTCGCAGATCTCTGTTGGAAAGATGGCTTTCACACCAATGGAAATTGTCCCATCAGTAACTTCCATCCAGCGGCTATTTTTCTGCTTTTGCAGTAATTCCACTTTTCTTTTTTTTTGAGATGGAGTCTCACTCTGTCGCCCAGGCTGGAGTGCAATGGCGCGATCTTGGCTCACTGCAAGCTCCACCTCCCATGTTCACACCATTCTCCTGCCTCAGCTTCCTGAGTAGCTGGGACTACAGGCACCTGCCACCGTGCCCGGCTAATTTCTTGTATTTTTAGTAGAGACGGGGTTTCACCGTGTTAGCCAGGAGGTCTCTGACCTCGTGATCCACTCGCCTTGGCCTCCCAAAGTGCTGGGATTACAGGCGTGAGCCACTGCGCCCAGCCAGTAATTCCACTTTTGAAAAACTCTTCTCATTGTCCTCAATGCCTGGTTTCTGGGCCCTTCTCAGACCTCTTCACTCTCCTGTGGATGTGTTTAAGTTGGCCAATAGACTTCCCAATGTTTGAAACCTGGTATCAATACAGAGTTCCTTCAATGTGTCCCACCAACTAAGGCCAAAAAAGGCTTCATTTCTCTCATTTTGTTCACTACAAAGCAGCACTGACCAATATGGTTGCCACATGGTTCCTGTGGCTGTTCTCACTGAGATTAATTGAAATCATCCTGTTCGCATTGCAAGTACTCACGAGCCCTATGTGGCTAATGGGTGCTGCATTCATCGAACAGCAGATATAGTCTTTTTACTACCGCAGAACGTGCTATTGAACTTGATTTCAATAGAAGGGACCCTGTGTTGATACCGGGCTTCAAATGCTGGGAAGTCTATTGGCCAACTTCAACATATCCACAGGAGAGTGAAGAGGTTTGGGAAGGGCCCGGAAACCAGGCATTGAGGACAATGAGAAAAGAAGAATTTTTTTTGTGTTGCTGTGGAGATGGAAGAGAACTGAGAGACACTCCGGTTCTCCCATGCCATTACTCAGGGAGGCGTCTTGGGCCAAGGCCACTCATTTGTTCACACAAAACACAGTCTCTTGATTGCCAGCTTATATTCTTTTTCTCTGATTGATTCCTAATGATGCTGTCTGGGATTGTACTGTGTTTTAATAATCTCGCCACAATGTTGGCCTCAAGTAAGATCATGACCATTTAGACTCTGCCAAAGTCTCCACTTACTGCTTTAGTCTCCCTGTACTGGAGGCTCTCTGCTGGAAAGATGCTTAGAGGATGCCTACTCCAACCCACACTGCAAGATGGAACCTCTCCAAGTGATTATCTGTTTAGAGAGCTCAGTTGAGCATATAAATTTGAAAGTACTTTGAAATTGTGAAGGTCCTTGTTCTTGATTGTTCCTCTCAGTAATCAGATTGTTGGGTATATACATGCTGAGTAAGCAGAGGAGGCCCAAATTTAATATGGGTGTAGCTTTTTAGAGCCAAGATGGACTTCAGAGCTCAATTAATTCAACCTGTCTGTGATCCTCTCCCCAGATGAAGCAACAAGGTTCAGTGATGTCTCCAGAGCATGTAGCTGGTCAAAGACCAACCCCAGACCAGAATGGATGCCTCTTGACCTCACTTCAGTTCTCATTTCACTTCACCACACTGCTGCTTGACTGTGGTGTCATGGTGCATAACCAGAACTAATTTCTGGCATTACCTTCCAGGATATAGTACATTATGGGATACAAAAGGAATTGCAGCAAAATTAGTGTCAGGGTACTTTGGTTACATTTTGTGTTCCACAACTAATCTACTGTGTGATCTTTTGCAAACCACTCAACATTTCTAGGCCCCCAGCTTCTCAAATTTAAAATAGAGGAGACTATGCAGCCGTAAAAAAGAATGGAAGCATGTCCTTTGCAGCAACACAGATGCAGCTGGAGGCCAATATCCTAAGCAAATTAACACAGGAAAAAAAAGCCAAATATCACATGTTCTCAGTTATAAGTGGGGACTAAACACTGAGACACTGGGGGCTACCAGAGGGGAAGGGAGGGAGGGGAGTGAGAAAAACTAGCTGTGGGGTACTATGCTCATTACCTGGGTGACAAGATCATATTCCAAGCCTCAGCATCTGAGTGGGTTTGGGGTGGGGCTGATACTTTGCATTTTAAAACAAGCTCCCAGGTGACACTGAAGCTTCTGGTCCAGAGGCCATACTTTTAGAACCTTTGGTCTGGAATATTGAAGTTCCTTCCTGCTGGAGCAGTCTATGCTACTTTCAGTCTAGGGGTCTTTTAAAAGCACTTGCCTTTTCCATTTTTTTCATGACATTTGCCTTCCCCCGTGTGTTAGATTTCACTGTGCACGTGTCTGTTTCTGTTATATGCTTCTTAAGATATGTTTGTGTAATCTAAAGGCTTCTGAAGGTTTTTGTTTTCCAATAATTGTGGACCAGGCAGCCCAAAAAGAACAGCTAGAATCTCTCTCTCTCTCTCTCTCTCTCTCTCTCTCTCTCTCTCTCTCACACACACACACACACACACACACACACGTGCACTTTGTAGGGATCAGAGAACCAGCAGTGAAGAATTACTAGGTCAAGATTTGAGAGAAGAACAGAAACAAAAGCAGGAACATCACATCCTACCAACATAAAAAAGGTTATATTGAAGGCATAAAACATTTTGAAATAAAGAAGACCTAAATGAGTGGACATGCTCTGTTTAAACATTTGAAAATTACTTTTTAAAAAAATTAATCTTCTGGTTCAACCAAATACCATGGGAATCCCCAGAGGTTCTAATTTGACAAGCTGATTCCGAATTTTATTTGGAAATTCAAAGGGCCAAGAATTGCCAAGACACATTTGGAAAAACGTGGGAGATCTTGCTTCACTGTATTTCAAGACTAATTATAGAGCCACTGTAAGTAAGGCAATGTGCTGATGGCACAAGGACAGAAAAATGTCCAAATGGAATAAGATAAAGAGTATAGAAAGAGGCTCATGCCTACATGGAGAATTGATGTAGAATAGTAGTGGCTCAGCAGAACAGTGGGGAAAAATAGTCTTATCAACAGTTGGTTCTGGGCTGGGCATGTTGGCTCATGGCTGTAATCCCAGGACTTTGGGAGGCAGAGGCGGGCAGATGACTTGAGGTCAGGTGTGTGAGACCAGCCTGGCCAGCATGGTGAAACCTGGTCTCTACTAAAAATACAGAAATTAGCCAGGTTTGGTGGCAGACACCTATAATCCCAGCTACTCGGGAGGCTGAGGCAGGAAAATCGCTTGAACCCGGAAGGCAGAGGTTGCAGTTACCCAAGATCGTGCCACTGCACTCCAGCCTGGGTGACAGAGCGAGATCCAGTCTCAAAAAAAAAAATTGGTTCTGGACAATCAGATATTCATATTGGGTAAGAAAAAACAAGAAAAAAAAACTTGACCCTTACTTCATACCGAAGACACACACACGCACGCACGCGCGCACACACACACACACACACACCCCATTGCCAGATGGATTATAAGCCTAAATGTAAAAAGAAAAAAGATAAAGTTTTAGAAGACAATACTGGGGACTATTTTCATGTCTTTGATGTAAAAAAAGTCTTCTTAAACAAGATCCAAAGTGCAGTAACCTTAGGGACAAAGACATGACACATTCGACTACTTTGAAATCATGATGAAAGCCTCTGTTCCAGGAAAGTTTCCACTAAGAGAGTGAAAAATCAAAACGCAAAGCAAGAGAAGATATTTGTAATGTATATAATCGACAAAAGACTTGCATACAAAATACATAAAGAACTACAGATCAGTAAGAAAAGACAGATAATCTGATAGAAAACATGGGCAAAAGAAAAACAGGCATTTTACAAAAAATAACTCAGTTGCCTGTAATTACATATAAAAGGGTCCAGCTTTTATTTATCAGTGAAATGCAACTTATTATTTATCAGGGAACTGCAAATTAAAACTCCAATGAGCTATTGCTACACTCACCAGGTGGCTAAAATTGAAAAATAATCGATGTTATCAAATGTTGGCAAGGATACAGAGCAAGAGGAACTCCTATTCACTGCTTGTGGGAGTGCAAATTGGTGTAAACAATTTTGAAAAACAGTTTGGCATTGTCCAATGCTATTGAATATATGCATATCTTATGATCCAGTAATGCAACTTTTCAGCATGTAGAAATAGAGGCATAAGGGGCACCTACTGGCCAATAGAAATGTGTGCATAAACCAAGTTGTACTATTCAACCTGAATATTAGTGTGGTAAAAGTATAAAGAATATGAAAAGTTATCACCATAAAAGTCAAGTGAGTGATTATTCTTGGGGGAAGGAGGGAGTTGTGACTGGAAAGGCTCAGGAATAGCTTCTCATAATTCAATTTAGATATAATAGACTGAAAACACAAATTCTTTATGTTAACAAAGTGCCTTTCAAACTCTTTTGAGTTTGGATTGAACCAGAAATTTCTCACTGCTACTCAGTAAAAACATATGCACAGACCCCAAACTGAAATATGGGTGTAATTAAACAGCATCTACTTTTACTACATGGCACGAAGTAATATTTTCTATTCTTTTTAAAAAAACATGGGCCCAGCACGGTGGCTCACACCTATACTGCCAGCACTTTGGGAGGCTGAGGCGGGCAGATCATGAGGTCAGGAGTTCAAGACGAGCATGACCAACATGGTGAAACCCCATCTCTACTAAAAAATTCAAAAATTAGCCAGGCTTGGTGGCATGCGCCTGTAATCCCAGCTGCTCAGGAGGCTGAGGCAGGAGAATTGCTTGAACCTGGGAGGCGGAGGTTGCAGTGAGCTGAGATTGTGCCACTGCATTCCAGCCTGGGCGACAGAGTGAGACTGTCTCAAAACCAAACCAAACCAAACCAAACCAAAACAAAACAAAAACCGTGGTAGGCTTGGTGGAGTGGCTCATGCTTATAATCCCAGAACTTTGGCAGTCTGAAGTAGGAGGATCGCTTCAGCTCAGGAGTTTGAGACCAGCCTGGGCAACACAGTAAGACCTTATCTCTACCAAAAAATAAAAATAAAAAAATTAGCCAGGTGTGGTGGTGCATGCCTGTAGTTGCAGTTTCTTGGGAAACTTTCTTGCTGAGGTGGGAGGATGGCTTGAGCTCAGGAGGCAGAGGCTACAGTGAGGCGAGATCAAACCACTGCACTCCCACCTGGGTGACAGAGTGAGACCCTGTCTCAAAGCAAACAAACAAACAACAAAACAAAACCAAAAAACCAGAAATCAAAAACCAAAAAAACACGTGGCAGCAACAGGCGGCATGAAATTTCTGCATTTAGAATGCTTTTGTACTCAGCTTTCAGATGGAAAAACTGAGGCATAATTGGAGTAAATTAAGCCTATCTGTTGGATAAAGTGATGGCCTAGAGAAACTTACAATAAGATCTTACAGAGGCTTTCCAAACTGGAGCACTTTTAGGGTCATCCGTCCTAGCCCCTCATTCTGCAAATGAATAAACCAAGGCTCAGCGCCATGTGACTTGTGTGAGCGAGGGATAGGGCTGGGATAAAACATGTCCCCGATTCCTCCTGCAGCGTCCCACCATCATGTCAGGGTCATGGCTGCTTTGGTTCAGAGAAGCTGACATCCACCTGGCTCACAGGAAGCCCCCTCCTATTGACTGGGGAGACCCCTAGCCTGGAGAACGTGGATGCATTTCTCAGGCGAGGGAGAGGACCGCCTGTGGACCCTCCCTGCCTGTGCACGAGGTGAGTCCAAGGCACCGGCTGAACTGGCCTGGTGGGTGGGGCAGGAGCACCTCACCTGTACTAGGGCACCCCAGGAGGCTGCACCCAGTGACCTGGGCAGAGGAGGGGGCTGGCCCTTCTCTCTGCACAGGAAGCCGGCCTCTCAGTGTGGGGAGCTGTCTTGCAGGGGGAGCAGCAATCTCATCTACATAGAATACTGTCTACATGTCCAGGACAAGGATGCAGGCAGCTGCCTGTGACAAGCTCCATAACCCTGCCATGCTCACTCCTTGGCTGCTCACAGACCCCGAAGGCTTGGCAGGGCTTGCCTGCTGCCTTCTGCCAACCACAGGATGCTTTCCTGCTGCTTGTCCCTCCTCCCTTGGGACACGGAGGCAGCCATCTGACGGTCACATCATCCCCAGTGTCCCCAGTCCTGGGGATGGGAAACTCTAGCAGGTACCAGAGCTTACCTGAGGCCATCTCAGACAAGAGTAAGCAGAGAGTAAACAGCAAAAGGTAGGAAGTTCTCATGGCGCCTGGCAGGCAGCACCCAGGATTTCAGGAACGGAGGAGTGGCTGCTTTGGAGGCTGAGCTGACAGAGGCTTCCAGAGGCTGGAGTGTCGCTGTATTTATAGGACTGGTGGATTGCACAACCTCGTCGACGGAACTGAAGGGAGGTGCCACAATCAAGGGTGAACTTCTAATCACTAACCCCTGATGTCATTTGCCCTGAGCAGTCGGCAGTCACATGGCACGTTGTCTCCATCTGGCTGCCGCTGGATGGCGCTGGATTTAGCTTTCAGCCTGGAGCCCTCCTGTTTGGTGCCAGCTCCTCCTGTTTGGTTTTCTAGGTTAGGCAGTTCTGATGGGGTTTCTGGAAAAGGCAGTTCACACTGGAATCCCTCCTTCTGGATCCAATGGAGGAGAGCCACAGGGAAGCTCTGAGCAGGGGCCACCTGGCTCTGAGCTGGTGTTGGTCTCTTCCTGCAAGATAACCTCAAACTTCACCCTCTTCCCTTGCAAAAGCAGAGCTGGTTGTAATGAAGTTTCTTCTTCTGGCCAAGGCTACCTTCTCATTTCTCCCCTTACACAGAATACTCTCCTTGATGGACCAAACTTCCTCTTTTCCCTCTAGATGTGTTCTTGGGATGTTTCCAAAGGGTACTCCTCAGAAAGTGAGCCCCCAGTGTGGCCCTTGGAGGTCGAGGTCTGGTCCAGCCTGGGCCCACCCTGCAGAGCTGCAACTGCCAGGCTGGGATGCTCTTTGCGACTCTCCAAGTATCCCTCAGGTTTTCCTTGATTCTAAAGATTTAAGAAACATTTCATTTATCACTGATTTTCATTGTAATTCTGTGAGCAGCTTTCCTGATGTCTCCGCGGCTTATTTTCAAGCAGCAGACGCTGGCTCTTGCTGACCAAGGAAGGGAAGAGTTTATTCGGAGGATATCAGGGTTGGTGGGGGGTGGTGGCGTTGCTGGAGAACCCAGCTTGAGGCTCAGTTTCCAGGAATGACATCCACCCTACATTGTCATGGTGGTCTGATGAGAACCCCATGCTGTAGCCACATGGCATGAGACACCCAGAGTGAACTGACCCTCAACCACTCCACCCCTGGCAGAACGCTGTTCTGCACCCAAACATGTACCTGCCATATACTCCCACTGCACCCCTGCCAGAGAAAGACAGAGACCCAGAAAGATGGACAAACAGAAACAGAGACAGAGGAAGAGACAGAGACATGCAGAGAGACAGCAGAGAGACACAGAGAAACAGAGAGATAGAAACAGAGACAGAGAGAGATGGAAATAGAGAGAGATAGAGATAGAGAGAAATAGATTGAGAGAGACAGAGACAGAAAGATGCGGCGGGATCTTGCAGTTAGCTCATTGAGGCAGTTCACAGAGGGTGTTAAGCCATGCCTGACCTCAGAGCAGTGAGATTGTGGAAAGAGGGAAGAAAGAAGCGGAACACAGGTCTCCTTGCTGCTTCTGGGTGAGACGCGATTCAGCCTCTTCCAAGTTCCTCCCAAACACCCTCTGTGAACTGCCTCAATGAGCTAGCTACAGGATTCCATCAGATCTGTTTCTGTCCCTTTCTTTCTGTCTTACTGAACCCACACTATGATTCTTTGACCAGGCCATATTATCCTCATGTTAGAGAAGAAAAACGCTGAGGTGCACAGAATTGAAACCAATTGCCCAAGGTTACCCAGCCAGTAAATGGAAAACTGGTGTAATAGCCTGGAAAGCCTCGTTCCCTAGCCTCTGTGCTGACCGACTCCTGAGGAGGCTTCCGGATTATTACACTGGGTGTGGGTTCAGTAAGATTGTGAAAGAAAAATATCTTGGGCCGCTTCAAGCTGGGAACTGCTCAGGGCCAATCTACCTCTTTTTCTATTTAAGTCATCTTTTTGCTTCCAGAGATACATGCGTATTTTGATTGCCTCTGTTGGAAAGACTTATCAGAAACTCAAAAGAATGCAAGCGGTCAGGGCACAGTGGCTCATGTCTGTAATCCTAACACTCTGGGAGGCCGAGGCAAGCAGATCGTCTGAGGTTGGGAGTTCGAGACCAGCCTGGCCAACATGGTGAAGCGCCGTCCTTACTAAAAATACAAAAATTAACTGGGTGTGGTAGCACACACCTGTAATCCCAGCTATTCGAGAGGCTGAGGCAGGAGAATTGCTTGAACCCAGGACACGTTGGTTGTAGTGAGCTGAGATCGCACCACTGCACTCCAGTCTGGGTCACAAAACTGCACTCCGTCTCAAAAATAAAATAAAATAAAATAGGATAAAATAAAACAAAAAGAATGCAACCATCTGTCTCTCACATATCTGTGACCTGGAAGCCCCCAGTGCGGGGGGCCTTACTTTGAGCTGTCTCTGCCTTTCTGGACAGAACTAATGTACTTCTTACATATTGATTGATGTCTCATGTCTCCCTAAAATGTGTAAAACTGAGCTGTGCCCCGACCATCTTGGGCACATGTTGTCAGGACCTCCTGAGGCTGTGTCACAGGCACATCCTCAACCTTGGCAAAATAAACTTTCTAAATTAAATGAGACCTGCCTCAAATTTTGGGGGTTTACAAGATAATAAAGTAAAAAATCTCAGAATGCTGCTGGGCACCATGTGAGGTCCGATGATGTCTGAAGATCCTGGGAGGGGAAGGAATCTAAACCCTGGAATCCTGATTTTCAGGACTGACGTTTTCTGCTCTGAACCTGAAAAACATTTTGCTTTATTTTTTAAATTAATTTATTATTATTATTTTTTATTATACTTTAAGTTCTAGGGTACATGTGCATAACATGCAGGTTTGTTACATATGTATACATGTGCCATGTTGGTGTGCTGCACCCATTAACTCGTCATTTACATTAGGTATATCTCCTAATGCTATCTTTCCCCCCACCTCATGACAGGCCCCAGTGTATGATGTTACCCACCCTGTGTCCAAGTGTTCTTATTGTTCAATTCCCAACTATGAGTGAGAACATGCGGTATTTGGTTTCCTGTCTTTTCTGAGAATGATGGTTTCCAGCTTCGTCCATGTCCCTACAAAGGACACGAACTCTCCTTTTTATGGCTGCATAGTATTCCATGGTGTATATGTGCCACATTTTCTTAATCCAGTCTATCATTAATGGACATTTGAGTTGACTACAAGTCTTTACTATTGTGAATAGTGCTGCAATAAACATACGTGTGCATGTGTCTTTATAGCAGCATGATTTATAATCCTTTGGGTATGTACCCAGTAATGAGATGGCTGGGTCAAATGGTATTTCTAGTTCTAGATCCTTGAGGAATTGCCACACTGTGTTCCACAATGGTTGAACTAGTTTACAGTCCCACCAACAGTGTAAAAGTGTTCCTATTTCTCCACATCCTCTCCAGCACCTGTTGTTTCCTGATTTTTTAATGATTGCCGTTCTAACTGGTATGGATGGTATCTCATTATGGTTTTTATTTGCATTTCTCTGACGGCCAGTGATGATGAGCATTTTTTCATGTGTCTGTTGGCTGCATAAATGTCTTCTTTTGAAAAGAAACACTTTGCTTTTTAAGGTTACTTTTTCAGGATTTCAAGCATCCTGTGATGGTGCTAGAAGAAGGTCATTTTAGTCCCAGTGTCTGGGGCATCATCCTGTTCCACTTATATCCATCAGCAGGGTGATGCTGGAGAGCAGAGTTCACTCCTGGGCTCTCTTGAGGAGTGAGACATGGTAGTCAGCTCTGAAGGCGTGGAAGTCCAGGTGAGATCGTAAGGAGGCCAGGTCCCATGCCATGTGCCCAGGAGAAACCACATGCAAACAGAATGCGGCATCTACTTTCACAAAAATCATTGCAGTGAGACCGGCTAGAGTCCTGGCTTCATCACTCACAGTTGACAAAGGTGTGGCCTTTGTGGGTGGGTGCTGACGAAGGAGACTGATGGGGGATGTGGTGGCAGAAAGTACACACGCCCTTGACAGCCCAGGGATGAGGCCACTGACCCACCTGTGATGAATGACAGTCTAACGGAGGAAATGACACTTGGGATGAGGTTGTAGAGCAGATGGGGGCCGAGTAGATGAAAGTGTGGTGGAAGGACCATGGACATCTCAGGAGAGCAGGGACCAAGGCCTATATAGGAGGTGTGAGCGTGTGTGTGTGGTGTGCATTACGGCTTGTGTGTGGTGGTTAGGCTTGTATCTTTGTGTGCATGTGGTACACATTTAGGCTTTTGCGTGTGTGCATTTTGGCATGTGTGTGTGTGCATTTAGGCTTTTGTGTGTTTGCATTTTGGCATGTGTGTTTGTGTGTGTGCATTTAGGCTTTTGTGTGTGTGCATTTAGATTTGTGTGTGCGTGCATTTTGGCTTGTGTGTGTGTATGTGCATTTAGGTTTGTGTGTGGGCATGTGTGTGCATTTAGGCTTTTGTGTGTGTGTGTGTGCATTTTGGCTTGCGTGTTTGTGTGCGTGTATTTAGGTTTTGTTGTGTGCATGCATTTAGGCTTGTGTGTGTGTGAAGGGTGCACATTTAGGCTTTTGAGCAGCTTTGGTTTTCTTCTTAGGCAATAGGGAGACTTTGGAAGAGGAATTAAATGAACCTGTTGCCATTTTAGAACTAGTCTAATGTGGAGATGTCGAGGATGTATGGAGAGGGTGTGAGCTTGGACTTGGGAAGACCCAGGAAGGGGCCGAGGAGCCATTAGGGTCTTACACAATATGGGGAAGGGGGAAGAAATGAGACAGGAACCTGAGAGGAATTAAGAAGCTAAAGTCAACCATCCTCCACTGGCTGATGGAAGGAGCTGAGTTTCTGCCCTGGATGGAAGGAGCTGGATTTCTGACCCTGGGTGGAAATAGTTGGATTTCTGACCCTGGATGGAAGGAGCTGGATTTCTGACCCTGGATGGAAGGAGCTGGATTTCTGACCCTAGATGGAAGGAGCTGGATTTCTGACCCTGGATGGAAGGTGCTGGATTTCTGACCCTGGGTGGAAATAGCTGGATTTCTGGCCCTGGATGGAAGGAGCTGGATTTCTGGCTCTCTGCATGCTGGTCTCTCCCTCCAGTCATCAGTGAAGGCTGACAGAGGGGAGGAGCTGAGTGGGAGCTCAGCGATCTCCCCTCACTGGAGGGTTCAGGGTCTGGCATAGATCATCAGT